TAGTATTCGAAGAAGAAGTTACACGGGTAGAGTATTTGGGTCAATTTTATTTAATAATTTGTAGCCACACTGTTCCAACATTTCCGTATACATCGAAGTTGTACGTTCTTGGGATGATAGGTCTACATTGTAGTCACCAAATACCACTGCCCTTCTGCGAGATTCTAATTTCGTTGAATATGTTTCTATAAATTTATTAATATTGCTGTTGTCGGGATTTCTATAGATAACACCCACATCCAGCGAATACTTGTCAACATGTATCCATAGGTAATGATTATTATCAAGACATTGTTTTTCTATAAGATTATGTTTCATGATATTGTGTGCGAAGATTGATACTCCACCTCCTCTGCTACTAGGTCTAAAATTATAGTAATGGGTATAATTACATATCTGAAATTGTTTAGCTTCCTCGTCACACTTTATCCAGGTTTCCGTTATCAAAATTAAGTGAATTGTAAATTTAAAACATTTTAAAATACATATTAGTTCGTCAAATTTGCCTGCTTTAACTGTTCTGCGTGCATTGATATACAGATATTTTAAAGAGTCTTTTGTCATTATGATATTCTCATACTGAGAAGCTAGTTGGTAAGAAATATTTTTAGAGATTGGAATTTAATTATCATAGAATTTTGTTAGTTTTTTGGCTTAATTTTAACTATTTTAGGTATACCTTTGTTGTATTTAATAGTTTCCCAGGCGTGTAATACTTTTTGGTTCTGTACAATAGTTTGAGATCTTTTTAAATAAAACCAAGTACTTCTCTCTTCTCAGCCTCTTTTCTTTCTTTATAGTCAGATATTTTTGTTTCCATTAATCCAGTTATTATGATATTCTTGATTCTAACCAATCGATCAGAAAGTTCTGCCATCACAGTTTGTTCTATTGTGTTACTAACAGTTGTTGTGGTAAGTGGATCTATTAGTTTTTTTACTTTGAGGGTTTTTTATTTCAGAGTCTAACGTTTCTATTTGTTTATCTTTTTCATTATATTTACTGATCAAGTTCTCTATATTACGCTTTATTTTCTCATTTTCAAATCGGAGACTATCTATCTCGGTCTTAAGATTTTTTCGCGTTCTTTCAATGAACTTACATCTTTCGATATCCTGTTTATGGCTTCCGTTTGATTCGCGTTAATCGACGATAGAACTTGCATAATTTCTGCCATTCCCTTTCGTATTTCGCGTAATTCTTCTTTAATATCTTGATCACCAATGTATTTCCGTTTACTACGAAATGTAACTAGTGGCGCTGTAGAAACGTCTGTGGCTGACTCTCCAGTCGACAAATTGAGCTGTGAACCACTAAGTCCGGCACCTGTGCCACTTCTGGTAGATGAGCGTATTGGCATCATGTTGATCTGTGGCGCGTGTATTCACTCGCAGCGCACTTAGCAGAGTAATGTCACAACAGCGTAGGGGAGTGTATGCCGATTTATTATATTCCCCTTATTAACTTAAGAATTAAGTTCGTTTAAGCGTATTTTATTATTCTTGTTATTACAACCGATAACACGTCCACTTTGTACGGTGTCGCACACAATCCCCTCCAATTGTAATAATAAAATATTTTATCTAAATATAATTACAGCCAAACATTATCTCCCACAAGTTCAAGGTTGATACTGCAGTTGCAACTGCAGCTTGGGGTATGAAATATGATTTTTCTCCATGTTAAAAAAAGTTATCTAAAATTAATGGTTTCTATAAGCTGCAATCCAAGTTTACTGCCTAGGAGGATCTCTTGGAAGTCTATAATAACAAACCAATAATAGAAAAAATTACTACTTTTGGTAATACTTTATTACAAAATCTAAATAAAAACTAAAACCAGTTCGGCAGACAAACCCGCGTGGTTAATTAACTTATCGATAGCTAAAGTTGTGGCATACATCACTATAGTGCAATACTTTCGGTTACAGTGATACCAGTTTATTTTTATAAAAATTGCACGCTTTTGCTGCGAGGTAGCAAGTTTCGATTTGACTTATTTGGCCTTTATTTTGTATAATATTTTGATAAATAATAGTTATCGATTATATTAAATTATGTAATATTCAGAAATCATGTAAAAATTGAGATGAATATATAAATAATTTAACAAAATCTACTACACATGTATATTTAATGATTATTATTCATTACAAACTGATTAAGTTATTAGGAAATACATTTTCGTTAATATAATTAACTTGTGTAGTAAATTATATTTATTTAAAAATAGATTATTTTTCACTTTATGATTTATGATAGCCACACTTGGTATTTGACAAAAATATTCAGAAAGTACGAGTTTTAATGATAATATTACTTGAATATTATGTTAAAAATACTCACAGATGAAAAGTCACGTTGTCCTTTTGTAGATTTGACGTTTTTGATTGTTTTTTGCATGTAAATACACTGCAATTCGGCATTTTGTCGGAGCTCGATTTACTGGCACGATCACTTCGGAATGGCGCACGACGCTAAGCAACTAATTTTATATAACGGGTATGAGTCGGCCTCTCGTACCTTTTACAGAGGGGTTCACTTTGCGATGCCGCCTCTTTTGGTTTAATACTCAAAGACGGCGGGAAAAACAATCTCGACTTTTTGCACGCGCATTTATGGTACATTTTCTTCTCGGTGCGAACAGCAGATATTATGATTAAGATTTTGTAGGCTATTATATGTAGCTTAGGTATTTTCGCTTTTGTGTGGGAGTGATGTATCTGTTGGTAAACTATTTACTAATCTGTGAGTAAAAGTCCCGTTTTACTTTATTACAAAAAGACTGTTGTATTGTGATAACAAAAACAAAACATACCAAGCAAATGTCGGCAGCGTGAAAATCACAATTATTGCAATATATATTACTCGAAATTATTTACGTAAAAAGATAAATTATATTCACAAAAAAACTTTCATTACAATTTTACAATAAAATACTATACTAAAACACTAGAAAAATCCAAAAATCAACACGTGAAAAACAACATTCACGTGAAAATGGAGTACGAAATTAACGTAGATTAGAAATAATTATCCATAAGATAACTTGACTTTTTATTGCACTAGAGGATAGAAAATTTCATATTGATTCTATATTGTCAAACTTGTTCCTAGAAAAGTCGTCTCTAAATATAAGTTTTAATGGTTTAAACTTTAAAGTACTGTGGGTGTATTCGACCGCTTGGGAACTGAGGGGTTAATCGACTTAAGCAACTCACCATTCGCGATGCAACTTTCTTAAAACAACTCTGAATTTATTTTCTATAAATTTATCTAGATATAAAAAATTACTAATCCGTTGTAGTAATTTTTTATATCAGACACTGCGGATATCCTCAGAAATGAGGATATCCGCAGTGAAACCAGAGTGACCGACATAGCCCAACGGATTAGTAAGCTGAAGTGGCAATGGGCCGGCCATATAGCTCGAAGAACCGATAACCGATGGGGAAGAAAGGTTCACGAGTGGCAGCCTCGTACCGGTAGGTGTAGTGTAGGGCGACCCCCCACTAGATGGAGTGACGACCTGGTGAGACATGTAGGAAGTCGATGGATGCAGGTGGCTCAGGACCGTGCTTTGTGGCATTACTTGGGGGAGGCCTATGTTCAGCAGTGGACTTGTGAAGGGCTGTGATGATGATGATGAAAAAATTATGTTCCGAGTAAATGCCGTAAGGATGTACTTTTTATTTTGTACGACATACGGATGAATTATATCGATATCAGACGATTCGATAATATCGGATCGATCGCTATATTGAGCGTAGACAGAGAAACCTATAGACAAATTGACGCCTTCTTTCGTATTCGCACACGAAAAAGATAGATTTATGCATACGTCTTGCATAGAAATGAGATAGAGCGGTGTGATTGTTTGTCCCTTTCTCCGTGCCGGTTTTTTTGTTTAGCAAAGTCTACAGTTTGCTAAACAACTTTAACAGGGTAGCGATTTAAGGAGTTTACAAGTTGGTTTAAGTGAGAAAAAAGTATTTTGTGAGCTTAAGATTGGTGAATCTTGTTCTGTTCAGTTCTTAGAACAATTAAATTTATTATCTAAATGTGTTTAAAAGTCATAAAGATTATTGTATAACCTAAAAATTCGTTATCGTCCTTTCTCACTCGAGGCCACGCCGATCACTAGTCTATAGGTTCTCTGTCTACGATATTGAGTGTATGTATCGATATATTATGAAATATCGATTTATATCGAGCACTTATCTATGGCATAAACCGACACCGAGGCCACAAACTTGACAGAGAAACTGACCGAGGCGAATGCACAAAGCACAAATAACAAATTGGCACAAAGGTTATGTTCCGAAATACAACGCAGTGTACTGTCCAATGCAAATGACGTCATGAATCGACGCTATACTGGTGATTCGTTCCAAAACATTGGAAAGTATATGACGTCATACATTTGCGCCATTTGGAAAAGTGTTGAGGATTATTTTGTCATTTTGTGCTCCAAAAATCTTTACCTATATCCTCCTAATGGATATACCAGCAATTATTCTATAATTTTTTGTATTTGAATAAATAGAAACAAATTCTGGCATGCTTTATTCAGCGCACACACAATTATGAAAATTGAAAATTATAAAAATTGTTTTATTATGGCCGGATATCCGACACAATATGGCGGCGGTACGCCAGTACAATAAAGTTCATATGATGACGTCATTTGCATTTGCCAGTGTACAGATACAAAGGTACTCTGTGGTGTACAGTGTACTGGGTTGGGTTCCTATATATAAAAAAGTACTCTGTGGTTGGGTTGTATTTCGGAACATACCACAGAGTACATTAAAGGAACATACCCACAGAGTACCTTTGTATAAACTGAAAAACATACCTTAAGTTGTATGTACAGGACGAATTAGGTTTCTCTGTCTACGGCGAATGGTGACAACAAATATAAATCCACAAACTAATAAGTACCTACTAATAAATCAAAATAAAAAGGCATTTTTAAAGAAAATTTTTTTCGCACAGAAAATGGCTTTAACCTTTAGTTTACAAGCTGAATGCGGAGTAACAAGAGCTCGTGCAGGGATTATGACGTTACCGCACTATAATGTTAAAACACCAGTATTTATGCCAGTCGGCACACAGGTTTGTTGGAGTTTGTGTTTATTTATAATATTGCTGAATTTAAAATAAATTCTTTTTTCTTTATTTCAAACTTTGCATACATTTTAGGGCACAATGAAAGGGTTGCTACCGGAACAACTTGAGGATCTGGATTGTGAAATCATTCTTGGCAATACATATCATTTGGGTAACCGGCCTGGCACGGACGTCCTAAAAAAAGTTGGAGGCTTACACAAATTTATGGCTTGGAATAGAGCACTTCTGACAGATTCAGGAGGTTTTCAAATGGTTTCCCTTTTAAAATTAGCAGAGATTACAGAAGAAGGTGTTAAGTTTAAATCCCCATATGATGGATCTGAAGTTATGTTGACTCCAGAAAAATCGATTGAAATTCAGAATTGTATAGGTAACTGTTTTATTGTTGACTAATGTGACAAACTACCTTATTGTTCACCAGGTGGTAAATGACTACTGTAGTTTGAGTTTCACTGCAGATGCATTATCACCTCTAACTAAGATAGGATGCCCCACAGCCTGTAATTATACTGGCTCTTTTTATACTTCAGACTGGAACAGCAGTGCCATAGAATACTATAATACATACATAATAGAATGGGGGAGGGGGCATTTTCACACATATAAATATCAACACAAGATGTGTTTTGATGTTACAATCGTTTTCAAATTTCGTATGCAAATTATTTAAAAAATGCCAAATTGCACCCTATTTACAAATAATAATGTATTAAAATTTAAACGATTTTTTTTAATGATGATCTTAAACAATAATCAAATGTGTAAATTAATTCAGTCTGTGAACACAGCAAATCGGGTTTGGCAATGCCAAACCTCGTATAAAATAAAGTTGACGGCCATTCTATTGTGTATTATAGTATTCTATGAGCAGTGCACATACTGCTATTTGGAGGCTGACCATAAGAGGAATTTATTCTTATATTCTTTAAAATTATCAATTTGATGTAGTTTTTATTATATATATTATGAGGTCTTATCTATACAGGTGCAGATATCATAATGCAGCTTGATGATGTGGTTCAAACAACATTTCAAGATAATGAGCGTATAAAAGAAGCTACAGAACGGACAAGTCGTTGGTTAGATAGATGTTTGAAAGCACATAGCAGACCTTTAGAACAAAGTATATTTCCTATTGTGCAAGGCTTATTAAATAGTCAATTAAGACGCCAAAGTGCAGAGGATCATATGAGAAAGAATGTAAATGGTTTTGCAATAGGCGGTTTAAGGTTTTTGTTGTATTTTTTGATATTTAAATACACTTTTTATTTGTAAATTCATTAGAGTTATATTTTTTACAGTGGTGGTGAGGCCAAAGATGAATTTTGGCCAATGGTCAGTTTGAGCACAGAAGTTTTAGATACAAAACGTCCTCGTTATTTGATGGGAGTTGGTGTGGCTGTTGATCTTGTAGTATGTGTTGCTCTTGGTGTTGATATGTTTGATTGTGTTTTTCCAACACGTACTGCTGTAAGTATTATAAATTTTGCATTCATTCATCATTTAATTTACAGTTCTTCACAAATCCGCTGTTGAACATAAGCCTCCCCCAAGTAATGACAATCCTGCACCATTGGAAACCATTAACTTCCTATGTCTCCTAAAAGGTTGTTACTTTATCTAGAGGGGAACAGCCCTAACCTTCAGTGACTGGTAAGTGGCTGCAACTCAAGGACCTTAATTCCCCACTGGTTATCAATTCTTTGACCTATATGGCCCACCAATTGTCACTTACACTTGCTAATCAGTTGGGCTGTTTGTGACTTTGGTTTTGGTGACTAGATATCTTAATTATACAAATAAACTAAATTTCCAACAATATTTTTCAATGCAATCAAGTGATTGTGAAATAAAGATACTTTGTCCCATAGAAAATGCAGCTGTTTTAGTAGATATTGGGTCCAAAATGTTTTATTTTGGTTTTATTAGATTTGATATGTTTTTGCTACTCTATTTAGGGAGATTTGTCATATAAAATCTGGTCATACTGCAAAGAACTCACAACCAGTATTTATACAAAGTTTCATGAATCTGAACCAGCTTTTGAAAAGATTTTAATAGCCTCAGACACATTTTTAAACTTAATTACTGAGCCAGGTCAAGGTTTGAATGACACCCTCATTCAAACCAAACCAAAAGATTTCCTTGGGCTATTCAGGATGTTCCTTGTTTTAAACACTTGTTTCATTGTAATTGTTGAACCTGGTTACTTGTAGCTAACAGTGCTAAACACTTCTGGCAAATGGTAAATAAAAGAAATGATAGATCTCCTGCGCATGTGTAAATACTAACGATTCAAAATATTACCTGTTCTACTCAATTGTTTTACTTTGGTAGGTGTTGGTTCATTTTGAAACAGCCAAGTCGACTGGCGCTTTGTTTCTGGATCATATTGATAGTCCCAGTCATTACCTGTAATAATGTCAAAACCTATCGAGAAAAGCCTGCTTCAATTTTAGTAATAATATTCTTCGTTTTTGTGGTAGCATGGTAAATATAGTAGTAATCATGTTGCCATTCCACAAAGTTTTAATTATTATACAATTTAAGACTATCTTTCTCATGCAAAGATTTTCATATAAAATCTTGTGAACGCGTCTAGATCCAATCTGCAATAAGTGCTGAATCACTTCAGAAGTAATTCATCTATTCTCTTCAAATAAATTTTTCTGACATTTGGAATCATAAAAAAATCATTTGCACAAAAAGATGTATTCTAATTCAGATCCATTTTTCAATGTATTATCTAAGTTTGTTTTGACTATGTTAAATGAAACACGATATTTCAATTAAGCTTGTGAAAAACTGTAAAGGGAGATTTTAAGTTGGAAAATACAAAATTTTAATTAAATAGCCTGTACGGATAAAGAATGGGATTAGAAATGGTAGCTCATCAATTCTGTACTGTACACATGCACAGTACTAATAGCGAAAACCCACTAATAACGGTATATCGTTATAAATATGTATTATTCGGTTAATTGGAAATATTCTTCTTTCTTTTTTATGGCAGTTCATGATCATTCACCAATCAGCGTGAAAGTGTTTATTTTGTAGAATAGCTCATCAGAGACAAATACTATGCCCATGTACAAAAGAAGATTGTGATAATGCAAGTATTTTATATATCATTAAATCAATTTTTCCCCTTTTTTTAATTTTAATGATTGCACAGTTGAATTACCTAGAACAAATGACAAACACAGTTATTGTAGCTACATTAGTATGTTACTATTGACAAACATTAAAGGTTTATGCTATTGGTGTTAATGAAATCATACAACATATATACAAAAGTAGTGTTTGTGTAGGTTAAAAGCGAGTCAAAAATTAATGGGATGAGGCATGTCAGGAGGGAGAGGATCTTATAGTGAATAGATTAATTTAGGACATTTAAAAATATATGGTCAGTGGATCCCTCTTTTAACCTACATTTACAGAGGGAGCTATCCCGGATTCTCAATTTGGCTAAATGTACTTGCGTGCAAACATGGTCAATTTTAAATCTACAAATAATTGATGTTGCATGTTTGTTGGCTTCATTAAATTAAAAAAAAACTATGACTGGGGAGGGATGGATCATTGTATAATAACATAGTGTTTTACCTTTTATATTTTGAGTGGATTTCCATAGTCTATTCTGATAATTATTTAACTTCTGCTTTGCAAGTAACACTATGTCCACAGAGTATGTTACATTACATGGTAAACCATTTTGAATTGAGTTTTCAACCATCTGATCAGCTGTTTTATTGCCGTTTATGCCACTATGGCCTGGAACCCATGCTAAAGTAATCTGAATGTTCTTTAGATAACATCTTTACAATGTGTGTTTAATTTGGATGAGCAAGGGTATCACATGTTTACTATAAAACTGATATGACAAAATTACTAACAGACAACTTTTGGAGTACTGACTCCAAAAGTTGTCTGTTATGTGAATATTTTTTGCGCAAGTAGGTACAATAATTTTAAAATAAGATATGTAACTAACGACCCGTTCTGGCTTCGTCTGGGTGGAATATAGTTTTATTTAGACTTAAGGTTAAGATTCATTAAAGACCATTTTTCGTCGTAAGTATCAATATTTCTCTTTTAATAAAATCTCTAAAGTTCTTGGACAAAATTTAGTCTAGATCATTCCTGGTATTAACTCTCTATTTGCTCGTAATTCAGCGATTACGAAGATTAGCTCAGACAAACGAAAATTTTAAAAAAGGTTACTTATGTCTCAAAGGCATGTAAATATTTTGTATAAAAATATTAACAAACTAAATTAACGATAATTATGAAAAAATCTTTCAGAGTGCATCTAGCTCACAAATTGACGAACCGGACTGAGCTTTTATTTGTAGTTTATGGCATTTTGTTATCATTGATTTCAATAACATGTTGAACTGGAATTATAGGACGTACGAAAACCGCATTTCGCAACGTATTTTTTTGTACTCTCTACCGGTGCATATGAGTATAGATAGCGACAGTGTTTGAGCGAGGTGAATACAGGCGACGCCATTTTCAATCACATTCTTTAACGCACGCGTAGCGCTAGCGTAGCACATAGTTTTATTAACTGGCTAAGTGTCACAATATGTAAGATTATATTATAGGAAAAATTATCTTCCTTTTTTGTGTTACTTCTTATTAAGTTTCTGAGTAGTAAAATTTGCAACCTAACTTGATGCCTGCGAAGCTTGGCAACTATGGTATATATCCCACCAAAATTATATGAGACGATCAATGTGGCATATATTCAGCTGTGAACATTTGATAGGCTGTAATAAATAAATAAAATATGTCATTAATTAATTAATTTTACAGAGATTTGGATGTGCTCTGGTTAAGACAGGACAACTAAATTTAAAACAGAAACAGTATGAAACTGATCTAAGACCAATAGACAAAGATTGTTCATGTTCTACTTGTAAAAATTACACAAGAGCATATATACATTGTATTGTATCGGTTGAAACAGTGGCTTGTCACTTAATATCTGTTCATAATATTGCATTCCAGGTAATACAATTAATAATTTTGAGCTAGTAAAATCAATAGCAAAAAACAATTAGAAAGTTTAATTTTTGCTTAAACATTTTCTAATTTAATCTTTACAGCAATATGTAATATAATATACATTCTCTGCTTATAACTATTCCTTCAGGTTCATAATGTCCCCTTCCCATAGGACTCCTTTCTGTGAACAACCACTTCAGAAGTCTTTACTTCTGGTTATTATAACTACCACATTTTGGGAAAAGTCTATGTGGTTTTATAAGCCGTAGTAGCTCAGGGACTAAGTGCTGTTGGTAAATTTAATAGAATGTGAGTAACCCTTGCTGATAGCGCTGAGATTTTTATTAGTGTTGAAGAAAACCATTGTTATGAATACCTTAAAAAAGAAAAATATTGCAAGAATCCAACATGTAATGCAAAATTTATGGCAAAGCTAAAAATGAAGTTGCAGCTTGTATACAGCACAGGCCTCCTTTCACTTGTGAAAACGTTATGGAAGACAAATTTATATGGCTAGGTTTAAGAATTTAATTAAAGCTTTTTAATGTACTTCTTTTCCATTTCTCTTTCTGTATATTTTTGTCACACTAAACTTATTTCTATTGACAATAAGTTGTTTTCACTCACAACAATGTAAATGTAGCATTTTGGGAAAATTCAAGTCATTTTGGAAAGTGGTCATTATAAATCTGAAGGGAATTTTGTGGTTTCGTGAGTAATAAATTTTTCACAAACACATTTTGTTACAGATGCATCTCATGAGAACAATGCGGGAAAATATCATCAATGGTACATTTGTCCAATTTGTAAAAAAATTTATGAATGACGTTTTTCCTGATTATGATTACCCTACTTGGATTATAAATTCTTTAAAATCTGTTGGAATAAACCTATGTGAAAATTATTGTTCTTTAATTAATAGAATCAAGTGTTGCTTTATGGAAATCTATTATAAGTTGTTAAGAATTACTTTGCTCATATCCACTTAATAAAATGATCACACACACACACACATGTCCTACCTAGTTTGAAGAGCACCTCCCGCCCTCCCTCAATACACTATGCCCGTCACCACTGCCAATATCTTAGCGGTCAGCCACTGCAGTCTACTTCACCTGAGGATGTCCTGTGTAGAGGCGAAACAAGTGTCGTTTTATCGTCGGTGGTGTCTTTCCTAGTGTAGTGGTGTTGGAAGTAGTGGTGTAGCACAAGCAATAGATAAGACACATCATTTTATATATTGAGCAGATATGGGCAAAGTAATCTTAACAACTTTAATATTATTGTTCTTTTTTAACTTTATGATGAATAAAACTAGTGTGTAGTTCAATAATTATATTATCACTTTACATAAATTCATCAGAATCATTGCCATCATAGTTTGTTGTCATATTTTCTGCTTTCATCAAAGTAGCATAACTTCTTAGTTCTGCTTCTTCTTTTTTACGTTTTTCTTCTTCTTTTTCTTTCTCTTTTTTCTCTCGAAGTAATTTCTTTTTATCCTCTCTTTCTGATCTATCTCTACTTTCTCTTTCTTGTCTTAGATCAGGAAATGATTCTCTTTTAGTCTTTTGAAGCCTATTTACAATTTCATTACATCTTTTAGCAACTCTAACTTTTCTTACATCCTTATCTTTATGAAATGCCACTTGTCCAGCCTGAAAACACAAACCTTTAACTAAATTTTTAAGGCTATCAGTATTAATAAATAATAATATAAATACGTAATTACATTGTTCATTAATTAAAACACAAATTTACCTCCATGCTAGGAGTTTTTTTCAGGTTTGACCACATAGTGTATACAATATCTATGTCATTCATTTTATTGCCTAATATAGAATTAGCTTTAACCAATTGACATGCGTCATCCAAAACTGAATTTGGTATATCATCTATGGTTTGTCCCTGAAACATGCAGTAATCAAATAAATGTGTTAAATAAAAGAAGGCACATAATATTATTAAGCTCAAATCACTTCATTGCCCAAAATTTTGTCTTAAAGTATAAGCCCTGCAAATTGCAAATGCGCCTGCCCACCATTTTATTGACATAATCTCATGACATTCAACACTGGCCGGAGTATGCGTATTGCGTTTTTATTGTTATTTTTTCTAGTTATTTCGTTTTGTATGTGATTGTTGTTAAGTTTTGTTGTTGTTTGTTATTGTTATCATGTTTGTGTTAAAATGAGTAGAAAAATAAATAATAACCAAATAAATATTTGTAAAACAGAGGAGGAAACTAAGTACTTAGTAATGTAACTCATGATGTAAGATTACACGACTAAACTTAAAAAGTAGGTTAGATTAGAGATGGGAGATAGAAGGAATATTTTGAAAGCGTTTTTATGAGTGAGGAGACAACGTATAAAATAAATGAAGTGGAAACTCCGAAAGAAGAGGAAAGAGGTAGCGAGATAAGTATAGATGAAATATTGAAAGCAATTAAAAGCATGAAAGTAGGTAAGGCTGCCGGATATGATAGTTTCACTCTAAATGATAAGGGCTGGAGAGGAAGTGGTGGCAGGCCTGCTGCACACCTTGTTTAATTTATGCTGGGAACTGAAGCGCGTACCGGTAGACTGGTGCAAAGCCGTGATAGTCCCAGTATATAAGGGAAAAGGGTCGCAGCAGGACTGTAAAAACTACCGTGGTATCAGCCTTCTTAGCATTGTGAGAAAACTGTATGCTAAGGTACTGATTGAAAGGGTCATGAAAGAAACTGATGAAAAAATTTGGGATGTGCAAGCAGGATTTAGAAAGGGAATGGGATGTACAGATCAAGTCTTCCATGCGCATGATTGCGGAAAAGTTTTTGGCCAAAAACCAAAAGGTTTTTTGTGCGTTCATGGACTTGGAGAAGGCCTATGACAGAGTGGATAGGAATGTGCTATGGCAAACAATGAATTCATTTGGGTTGAACGCTGGCTTGATACAAGCATTGGAGTCGCTTTATAGGGACTCTAGTGCTTTGTTAAGATCAACGGGGTCTACTCTGACTGGTTTGGCATCCATAAAGGCGTCAGACAGGGCTGTGTGGCTTCCCCGTGGCTGTTCAACCTATTTATGGACAGTTGTTTGCAAAATTTGAAAGTTGAAGAATGCGGATTAAGAATGGGTGAGTTAACCGTCAAATGCCTTTTGTACGCCGATGATCAAGTTATCCGTGCGTCGTCAGCTGCCGAGTTGCAAATGATGGTTACATTAATAAACAGATCATTAAAAGAAAGGGGTATGAAAGTGAACGCAAGTAAGACGAAAGTTATGGTTTTTGAAAAAGAAGAAAGTAAGACGATATGTGAAATAAGAATAGAAGGAGAGTTAATTGAGCAAGTGGATGAGTTTGTATATCTGGGTGCGTATTTAGCAGAGATGGGAGATGTGATAAGGATATAGAACGACGAGTGAATGCAGGAAATAGAATAAATGGGGCCCTACACTCTATTGTGTTTAGTTGTTGGGAGCACTATGCTCGAAGTTGTTGACGAGTACCTTTAACTGGGACAAATAGTTCGACTAGGTAAGTCCAACTTCGACCGAGAGGTAAATCGACGGGTTCAACTCGGCTGGGCAGCGTTCGGGAAATTACGACACATCTTCTCGTCAGGTATACCTCAATCTCTGAAAACTAAAGTGTACAACCAGTACGTATTGCCAGTGATGACTTACGGATCAGAGACGTGGTCCTTCACTGCTGGCTGTATGAGGACGCTCAAGGTCGCTCAACGAGCTATGGAGAGGGCTATGCTCAGAGTTTCTCTGCGTGATAGACTCAGAAATGAGGATATCCGCAGTAAAACCAGAGTGACCGACATAGCCCAACGGATTAGTAAGCTGAAGTGGCAATGGGCCGGCCATATAGCTCGAAGAACCGATAACCGATGGGGAAGAAAGGTTCTCGAGTGGCAGCCTCGTACCGGTAGACGTAGTGTAGGGCGACCCCCACTAGATGGAGTGACGATCTGGTAAGACATGCAAGAAGTCGATGGATGCAGGTGGCTCAGGACCGTGCTTTGTGGCATTGCTTGGGGGAGGCCTATGTTCAGCAGTGGACTTGTGAAGGGCTGTAATGATGATGATGATGATGACTCTATTGTGAAGAGTCAAAATGTGTCGAAAAAGGCACGTATGGCAATTCACAATGATGTGTTGATCCCTACTTTAACGTATGGTAGTGAAAGTTGGGTGTGGCAGAAGAAGCACGAGAGTAGAATGAACGCAGTAGAAACGCGGTCGTTAAGGAGTATGTTAGGGCTGAATCTGAATGACAGGGTAAAAAATTGTGTAATAAGAGAAGAGTGTGGTTTGCAAGATGATGTTGTGACCAGGATTAAGAAAGGAATGCTTCGGTGGTTTGGTCATGTGGAAAGAATGAATGAGGAAAGAGTAACAAAGAAAATTTATGTTGCAGAAGTGAATGGCAGAGTCGGAAAGGGACGTCTTAGGCGAAAATTTATCGACCAAATTAGCGATTTATTGAAAACGGGCCAAATTAGGAGTACCCTTAACCGACGAGCATGTATGCGTAGGTGTATGGATGTGAAGGAGGCGAGAGAGGTGTGTCAGGATCGTGCCAAATGGAAGTCTGTAGTCTCTGCCTACCCCTCTGGGTGACAGGCGTGAGTGTTTATGTTATGTATTAGAGATCCCTGCGTACAGTCAAAACTATGTACATTAAAATCAGTTTAGCGAATATAACTTGAAGGTGAAATGACAGAGTTACTTTCACACCAATAATAATAGTATATAATTAAAAAATTTCTGTTCACTGTACTTTTTAACCCTAGAACCCTACCCAGGGTGCTGTGTCACCCTATGGTAACTTTGGTAGATAATATTTTTTTTAACTAATGGCAACACAGCTTCGTTATTTTTTCCAATCTCCTGTCAAATCATGTTTACCATTTTGTACTAGTTGAAAATTGACTGTCATACCGGTAAGTATTTTAAATAATTAATGCAGGGTGCTGTAGCACCCATGGGTAGTAAAATACGCAAATATTTCAAATAAATCAGTCTCTTATTTATAGCTATAAATATTGTAATATCTATGTTCCTGTGTTTAGAAGTACATTTCTTTTATAGGTTATAAGTGTTGTGAAATAATGTGGCGGGTTCTAGAAGAGAGTTGACGAATGAGAGCATTGAGCGGTTTCTCGAGTATGATTCCGATGAGGATGAGATCGTTGGAGGCGCGGAGTCAGACAGCGAACCTGATGAAATCACTGACGACTTTCACCACGATGAATCTTCGTCAGATTCAGAAGATAATCAGACTTTAGCCAGCTTACAAGCGAGGACGAGTAATCTTCTAAAAGCGTTCGAACTGCCCACAAGATTATATGGTGCAAACAGATACAAGTGGAGTGGCGAAACTCCGCAATTCTCGGGACGTACTCCAAGACGAAATATAATATTGCACCCTCCCGGTAATAAAGGACCTGCTAAACAAATTTCTACATGTTTAGAGGCTTGGTCTTTATTTTTTGATGAAGATGTACTAGGACGTATCGTGTCTTTTACTAATGCTGAAATCACATTACAACGTCAATATTATAACAGCGATAGACAGAATTACGATTTAGACGAAGGTCCTGGAAATGTTAGACCATCTTGCACGCGGGATACTTTAATTTCTGAAATAAAAGCCCTGATAGGTTTATATTATTTGTCTGGAGTTTTGAAGACGAATGCTGTCACAGTAAAAGAGCTATTCGACAATGACACTGGAACACCATATTTCAGAGCTACTATGTCGGGGTCTCGATTTGAGTTCCTTACGAAGTGTTTACGTTTCGATGATAAAAATACATGAGAAGATCGTCGGAGAGCAGATCGGTTGGCACCGATAAAGGAATTATTTGATAATATAGTAAAAAAAGTTTTGATTATTACACGCCCCACTGATTGTTGCACGATGGATGAACAACTGCTTGGATTTAGGGGCCGGTGTCCCGAATGTATATTCCCAACAAACTCGATAAATATGGTATAAAAATAGTACTATTGTGTGATTCAAAAACATTTTACATGATAAACGCAGAAGTATACTTAAAGGAAAAGAAAGTACTCCAAGGACACAACCCGTCGCAGATTACTATCTCCAGTCTTTGAAATCTCCTATACACGGCACCAATAGAAACCTGACTTGTGACAATTGGTTTACTTCGATTCCATCAGCTACTGCATTACTTGATTTTTGGAACTCTAGACAAAATAAAAAGAGATACCTGCAGAAATAAAAGACCAACGTTCTTTTGTGAAAAATTCCGCCAAGTTTGCTTACAGTGGACCTCTTACATTACTAGCCTACTGTCCACCTAAAGGTAGCCAGAAGAAGGTTATTAATTTACTGTCAACAATGCACATTCTTCCCGATAAAGATAAAACTGTTTTTTTGCCCGAAATGATGGATTTTTATAACAAAACAAAAGGAGTTGATACATTTGACCAACTGTTACATTTCTATTCAGTGTCACGTAAGACTCGTCGCTGGCCTTTATGCATGTTTTACGGGTTATTGAATACAGTCGGTATCAACTCTATGATATTGCTGAAGTTTAGTTCTTCAATAAATAAGGAAAATATACCCAATAGACGGACATATCTGAAAACTTTATCCTTACAGTGTATAACACCTTATTTAAAAGAAAGAAAAATTGGCCTACTTTGAGTCACAATATCCGCCAAATGATTAACGGCATACTCAAAACGCCAAATGATCCTGATAGACCAGCTCCTAGTGTCGTTAAACAAGGACGTTGTAGATTCTGCCCCTATTCAAAAGACAGAAAAAGTAAGACCTTTTGCAATAAGTGTAAAACGCCTATCTATGGAGAACATCAGATAAAAGTTTGTTTTAAATGTGTTTAAACCGTTTAGTTTTACTATATGCGTTTTAAGTATATATACAAAAAAAACCATTTTTATTATAATTCTTGAAAATATCTCATTACATAACAGGGTGCTCGGTCACCCTGGGTAAGATAAGTCACTGTAAAATATGGGTAGGGTTCTAGGGTTAATTGTGGATGACATCATATGGACATTAGTGTAACAAGTTTCCAGCCACTGACCTCTATATATACAAGTACGCTGGACTGGCTATACCATACAAAATGACTGTGCCAATTTGAAGCGCCGCTAAAGGATGTCTTGAAAAAAAAATTGACATAATATGCCAGTCTGTTGTCTTATTTACATTATCTTATTTAATAAGTCTGTATTTTGAACTTTTAAACTAAAAAACGAAAGTATTTTATGTTGTTTGATTGTGTATAATATTAGTTACATAATAAGAACTATTTTTAATAACAATGAGTGCGTAATCTGTAAAACTCATTACCAAAAGGGAAGTGGTGTAACATTTCACAAGTAAGTGAATTTGCAGCAAATATTAAATAAATTAAAACTATTTGATAATATAAGTACTTAAAAATTTGTTACTAATCTTAATATCATATATACCAACATATATGGCTGTATATTACTGAGTTTTGATAAACAATAAAATTCAATAGGGTTGTTGAGTTCCCTGTCTATAATACTTATCGATAGTCTTTCCAACCCATATCTGTTAACAAACAAAGTCGCCAACAACAGATGATTATCAAATGTTTATTAATTAACAGGTTTCCAACTGAACCTAGACTAAAATTATGGCTTAAAAGCATAAATATTGTGAATTGGCGTCCGAAACAAAATGATAATATTTGTTCCAAACATTTCACAGACGACTGTTTTATTAGACATGAGAACTGCGCCACTTTGAAAAAGTGCAGTATACCGACAATATTTTCTGGTAGTAACAGTAAGTATAAAAGTATTAGATTACGGGTATTATTTCGAATGTTCTCTATTATATTTTTATATGTATTTCTTCTTTCCTCATTTTCCACCAAACTCAAGGGCCATAGCCAAGTGTCGTAAGGTCGTCTGATGATGTCGAGCCACGTTGGATGTGTGTTAGTGGGCTACGGCTAGAGGACATTCCTCTCCATGTACCGCTGTAGTCGAGGTGGAGTCTTAGGGAAGAGGAGTGTTGGTATGACAACTGGCGATGCGCCACTCGACTATCTTTCGCGACTTCAGTGAGGCTGCACCACTTGATGCTCGTTTTTCCCTGGCTTCATTCACATATCGGGCTCGGGGAGTCCGTAGTGCAGGTGGAGTTAGAGAATGCGAAGGGCAGTGTGGCTTGTTTTTCTGGTGCGCCTTATCTGAGAATGAAAACGGGGAGAATTCAGCAACTAAGGAGGGGCTGCCATTGGGCGGCTGGCGCTGGAGGGGCCGCGGATGTGCTTGAAAGTGTTTCCGTGGCCCTGCCAATTTGCGGCGGAGGTAGAACACCATCACGGGGTTTTAGTAAGTGTGAGTCTAGAGATTTAATTCCCTCTCGAGTCTCAAAATTTAATTTGTGCCTTAACTTCGTAGTGGCCGAACTTTAGTTTCTTTCTTATTTACACATTCTGGCCATCATTTACATCACAGTTTTTGGCAGCTTCCTCTTGCGCAAGATCCACCGACAAAGGTAATCAAGTGTTCGATCAAGAACTCATGGATTGCGATATGTCAAGTCCCCTAGAATACGTGGCACTGCCGAAACTGGAAAGCTTAGGAAAACACACAGGAGGAAAGGTCAGTCATCGCCTCGGTCTACATGCCTGAGGAAGACACCCCTCCCCCTCACGACCTCGTCAGGCTGGTGAATTTCTGTGAGATGGCCGGACTAGAGGTTGTGATCGGGACGGACTCCAACGCGCATCATCCCCTTTGGGGAATGGAAAAACCTAATGAACGAGGTAAGGTTTTAGTTGAATATTTATTTAGCACTAGCCTAACCATTTTAAACACTGGTTCTGAACCAACCTTCATAAATAAACGCTGTCGCACAATAATCGACCTCACACTTGTAACAGAAGGAGCAGCTAAGCTAATGACGGGATGGCATGTGTCGAAAGAGGCCTCATGCTCAGATCACAGATGGATCTGCTGCGTACTACAGGTCGATATCCCCGCTATACTACCATGGAGAAATCCCCGCAAGACGGATAAAACAAAATACCTCAATAGGCTGACGTCTTCGCCACTATTAGTTATACTATAACTAATACCATAGCAGATCAATCGCTCCTAGAAGAACAGGTAGCAGCTGTCACTAAAGCCATGATCGATAGCTACCACGAATCATGTCCAGTAATCACTACACCAAAACATACTGAGCAAAAGCAACAGAGGTGGGGTAAAGAACTAGACAGGAAACGTAAGAACGTAAGAAAAGCCCTAAATAGGGCAATGAATACCTCAAAGGATGAAGACTGGCTTCTATATAAGAAAGTTAAGTCTGAATACAAAAAATGTATCAGGTATCGACGCTCAACAGGGTGGCGCAAATTCTGTGGTAGCATAGAAACCTGTGAACAAGCAAATCGGATAAGGATAATCCTAGCTAAACAGAACACGCCGGGATCTATCTCTTTAAAGAAACCCGCCGGAAGCTACTCAACATCGCCGGATGAAACCCAATGCATCCTAATTGATACTCACTTCCCAGGTTGCTGTGTAGTTGAAAGGGTGAACCGGCATGAAGATGCACTGACACCAACAAAAGAAGACTGGGAATTAGCACAAAGAGTGGTGACGATGGACAAAATCCATTGGGCCATTCATAGTTTCCAACCCTATAAGGCAGCAGGACCTGACGGCTTATTCCCGGCACTTCTACAGTGGGGGGGGGGGGGGGGGGGGTAAAGTCCTAATAGTCAGACTTGTTGCCATAATGAGAGCATGTCTGGCTCTTAAATACGTTCCTAGGGGATGGAGGAAAGTGAAAGTCACGTTCATACCCAAACCAGGTAAGAACGACTATACAGACCCTAAATCCTACAGACCTATTAGCCTCAAATCCTTTCTTCTAAAGACGATGGAGAGGATGTGTGAACGGAAGTTGAGAGGGTCGGCGCTAATTAACTTACCGCTACACGAAAAACAACACGCCTATAGCTTAGGTAAATCAACAGAATCGGCACTTCACTAGGTAATAACAAAGATTGAAGAGGCCATCCAAAACAAAGCAATATGTCTAGGCTCCTTCATAGACATAGAAGGTGCTTTTGACAGAACAAATTTCTCCAGCATAAAAGCCCTAAGTAGACATAATGTTGAACCAGCACTGATTGACTGGATAGTAAACATGCTCAGTACACGAACAATAAAGATTGCTGGTGAATCTCAGACAATTCAGATCATGAAAGGATGCCCGCAGGGTGGGGTTCTTTCACCTCTCCTGTGGAATATGGTCATTAATGAACTCATCAGCAAATTAAACGCTAACCATTTCTACACAGTCGGTTATGCAGATGATCTGACAATACTGGTCTCTGGTAAGACAGAAAGCATTGTGTGTGACCTGACCCAAGCAGCTCTCCGTATTGTGGAGAGATGGTGCAGGGAATATAACCTAACCGTTAATCTAAATAAAACGGTTATAGTAATGTTCACACAAAAACGAATGCTGAATAACTATCATCTTCCAAGTCTTTTCAGCACAAAACTCCAGCTTTCCTCCGAGGTAAAATACCTAGGTCTTACCTTGGACAGTAAACTTAACTGGAACAAACACATAGAAAACAAAATCAGCAAAGCTAGTTTAACTTTCTGGCAATGCAGAAACATGATTGGCAAATGATGAGGTTTAACGCCAAAAATTATACTGTGGCTGTACAAAACTTCAATTCGGCCCATGATCACATACGGCTCACTGGTATGGTGGACTAAAACCAATGAAGCCACCACTATACAAAAGCTTCAGCGTTA